CTTTCCCTTCCCGTCTGAAATTTCTAAAGACTGCTAGTATGTCTCTTCTATTAATGGCTCCCGATGTTTCTTGCAGATGCCCCCATTACAGAAGAAGGTGTCGTATTAGAGCCCCTTGCTGTAATGAGATCTTTGGTTGCCGTCACTGCCATAACGAGGCTAAGGTAGATTTCACTCTTTCTGACTTCATTGACTATGGGAAACTCCTGTATGTTCTTTGTCTGTGGGTTTCACTCTTTACCATGCCCTGGGAGCAGAATAGTATAAACATCGATCAGAAATTGAGGCATGATATTCCTCGGCACCAAGTTAAGCAGGTAAAACAATTTACAAATTTTGGTTGCTCTTGTGTTTGTTATTAAAAAAAAAAAATCACTGGACTCTTGCTGACAAAATGAGTTCCTTTTTGCACAGGTTGTTTGCATACTCTGTGGCACTGAACAGGAGGTGAGTACTATCAGTGAAGAGGAAGTGTGGCTCACTAACATGCACAATGTCATCAAAACGGTTTCTTTGACTGTTTTTTTTGCTGCACGTTTCGTTAATTCGTTAAAGATTTCCGGTTTGTGTTAAAAACAGAACAAAAAGAGAAGAAGATGTTGAGTAGAAACTCTGTTTTCTCTTAACCAGGTTCATCAATTCTGCGTCAGCTGTGGAGTGTGCATGGGGAAATACTTTTGCGAGGTTTGCAAGCTCTTCGATGATGATGTAAGTTCCGGAAATAACCATTATTTTCCTTTGCTCAACGATTCTTGTCTTGAAATTTGCATTCTTGGATGTTTTCCTCTCATTTTGACCTCTATGTTACTTTTTTTTTTGTTTCCAGACGTCTAAGAAACAGTATCACTGCGACGGCTGTGGAATTTGCAGGTATAGGTCCTTGCCTCTATTTTTTATTTCCAACGCATATATATATATGGAAGAACACATATCTAGAGCTTCCATTTACTTGGTCATCTGTAAATATGCATTGAATTATTTCACTTGGTAGCAATTTCATTTTGTAATCACGCCCGACTAAAATCTTCAACCGTTTCCAGAATCGGCGGACGTGAGAATTTCTTCCACTGTTACAAGTGTGGTAAGCCTCCTTTTGATATTTCAGAGTTTGAGAGATTTTGGGAAAATGTTTTCTTGTATATCTCATTCATCATAACCTAGGTTCCTTAAATACAAATAGTAGAAGAGAAAGAGAAACTCTAACCAAACTAAACCAAAACAAATTAAACCAAATCAACATTAAACCAAATTAACATTTAACTACATATATATTCTAATACACCCCCTCAAGATGAGAGTGATGAACTTTCATCTTGGACAAATATAAACAAAGACCACAAACAGCTTTCGCATGTGGCTTCATTTATATCTTCAAAATCTTGAACTTCACATTTCCGTAGCCGAGACCCAAGCCGAACGGTAAAGCACAAGCCAGTAGAGCTAGCGTGTTGGTGCCAGAGTCGGAACTTGATCGTCAAAAAAGGCGAAAACACCATAGAAATGATAGAAACAGAGGAGGAAAAAAAAATATAGAAGAAGAAAGATGGATTGAGGGTAAGAAAAATATAAATGAGCCCGCAAAGGTGGCCTCAGGAGAGGAAACACTGTCGGCTCGAGCAAGCTGCAAAAGAGAGAGAATGCAAAAGTTTTATCAAATGACGAGAAATTTCATGGAAAGGGATGAGAAGCAGAGAAAGAGAGATTTCAGAAAGGAGAAAAAGATGAGAGTAAAGAAAGGAATGGAAAGGAGAAAAGATTTGAACAAGAAAGAGAGAGATTAGATTGATTTCTCCAAGAAAGACGAGAAAAGCGAAGATTTTCTCTAAAAGTTGAAGAAAGGAGGAAAAAACCCTAGTGTTTAGGATTTCCGTTCAAGCATTACCGGAAAAATTTTGAAGAAGAAGAAGAAGAAGATAGAGAAAACCAAGTAGGAAAAAAAAACATCAAAAACAAGCACGGATGCTGTCATTTGAATCGGAAGAAGGAGAAAACTGAGGAGGAAGACTAGCAAAACGATTTAGAAAGAGGAAAAAAAATCAGATTTCTAGAGAATAGAAGGAAGATTGAAGAGGAAACAAATAGAGAGATTAAACTCTTCCTCTATTTTAAGATAAGGGATCGTTTTTAGGGTTTCAAAGCTTCAAAGAACCACCCTACAGATCTTAGAAATAAAAATGAGAGAGGGAGAAAGAGTATAGACAAGAAAACGAAGACTAAAAAACTGAAGAATATGGAAAGAAACTCGAATCTGGAAAAAAAAATGGAGGAACAAAGAGAAGATGAAAGATGAGGAATTTTATCAAACAGTTGGTGAGCAATATCACCATCATCGTCGTCATCCTCTTCTTTATCTTGTTCCATTTTGATATTTCAAAATCAAGAGAAAAATGAATTCAAATCAGAAAACAAACAAGAACAAAGAAGAAGAAATTAGCGGAAAAAAAAAGAGGATCTCAAAGGCCTGACACCATTTTGATATTTCAGAGTTTGAGAGATTTTGGGAAAATGTTTCCTTAAATACAAATAGTAGGAGAGAAAGAGAAACTCTAACCAAACTAAACCAAAACAAATTAAACCAAACCAACATTAAACCAAATTAACATTTAACTACATATATATTCTAATACCTCCCTCTCTCCGCTTTCAGATGTAAAACTGAACGTCACCATATAATATATATTGATGATTTCGCATGACATGAACGAATAAATCAGGCTGCTGTTTTTCGATCCTTCTCAAGAACAGCAGCCACCCTTACGTCGAAGGAGCAATGCACCATGACTGCCCCATTTGCTTCGAGGTATATTTACTCCTGATTTCATTATACGTCTCCTCCAGAGTTAAAAACGTGAACGGAACGGTTCCTTAAACAACACAAGGCTTTGGGGTTGGGTCGTGAATATCTGAATAAGAGAAGTTTGATATGGAGATTGCGGCAACGCCAATGCCAGAGCCATACCAAAACAGAATGGTGAGTCTGGTTATGGATATTGGGTGACATACCAATTGGGGGAGTTTATATATTTTTGTTTGGTAGAGATGGTGAATTAAAATTTGTTTTTGGGTTGAATAATGGAAAAAAGGTAAGGATACTATGCAACGATTGTGGGAAAAGTGCGGAGGTACAATTTCATGTGGTGGCTCAGAAGTGCCCAAACTGCAAATCCTACAACACTCGTTAAACCCGAGGCTAATAAAAACGCCTTTTATTAGCTTTTTTGTTTTTTTTACATTTTGTTTATTATTATTATTATTATTATTATTATTATTATTATTATTATTATTGTTATTATTATTATTATTATATCCAAAAAACATTCCACTGTATTGTACTGTGAAAACGTTCGGTTCTAAATATTCGGTTCATCTAATTTGATGCGCAAACGAATCGGGTTTTTATACAAATATTTAAATAGAAAAAAAATAGATTTCGATTTGACAAATAATATATAATAGGAAAAAATTAAGATTAAATCAGACAAATGTAGTATTAAAAATTAAATATAAATATATATAAAATTATAACATAAGTTCTTACATCGTTGCCTTTTTCTCTTCGTTGTCCTGTTTGTTAGATTACTGTCCGTAGATTCCAAGTTTATCTTGCTTTGTTAGGAACGTTGGGATATATGTAAATAATGCGAGGTAACTGTCTTCGAATCGGTAATTTGTATTTTCGGATTAAAAAATTAAAAGGAAACTGGTAATAAATGCAGTTTTTTTGTATATCTATGTGAGTGAAATCGTTTTAAATAGGGTAAGTATTTTTGGGCTTTGGTTGGGGTTCTAATATGTTATTTTTGGGACTGGTGTTTTTTGGTATAGAAAACTATATCCGCTAGGTTTTTGTATTAGAATTTTCTTTTATTCATTAGCGTGGATTTGACGAGGCTAATGTAGAGGTAGAATGTACTTGGCCCTTGAGATTTTTCATAGTAAGAAAAAAAAAAATCAACAAAAAGGAAGAAAAAACACAACAGGAAATTACAAAAACATACTTATTTCTTCTTCTTTTTATTTTTTTTTTGTTAAAGGTTGATATTTCATTACTTTAAAATCTTTACAATAAGCTTTTCAAAACTCTCCAAAATAGATGAAAAACCAAAATAACCAAAAGAGGCCTTAAAGCCTGAGTCGTCCAGATCTACTAGCAACCAATGTTCTATGATCTAGACAAAATATAGTGTAGAAGTCGAAGACCAATACCCGAATCCGAGTAGTGATTATTCGAACCATCGTTGTAGAAGTTCTGAAGCAAGGTCCGACTTTGTTTGCCGAAATGAAGCTGCCATCCGACGCAATATTTTGTCATAAAGTTGCGCTCAACCCAAATGGTGTAGGCGGTCGATTGCCAAGCAAAGAGAACAATATGCCTAGACACTCTAGTATCCCAGCTAGAATTCAACCAATGCATAGTATCTTTCCAACCAAAAGGGGTCCGATGCAACTTAAGCTTCCTACAAACCCGCAACCAAAGTGATCTAGAATACCCACATTCAAAAAGTAGGTGATTACGGGATTCGGCCATGGCATCGCACAACGGACAATTAGGACTAACCTGGACTCCCCAAGCCACGAGTCGATCTCGAGTAAGGATTTTTATTAAGCACAAATCCCATGTAGTGAAGGCATGCTTGGGTATGTGTCCCTTGAACCAGACTTGGGAGTGCCACGGGACCGGGGCATCTGTGGTTCGAATCTAATTCCAAACAGCTTTAGAATTGAATGTCTACGTAGGTGACTTCTCTACTATCCATAGGAACAAGTCAGCTCTGTCCGGGAATGGCTTATTTCTTCTTCTCACCACCTTTTTATTATATCAAATTATCAAAATTTGATATAATAAAGTAAACATTTCAAATAGCATCGACAGAGAAAAGGGAACCATATATGGACCGGACGTGGACCAAATACCTCACAAATCATAGGTAAAGTTATTTTATTTTTTCCACCCCCTTTTATTATATCAAATTTAATTTAACAAAGAAACATATCGGAACCATACATGGACGTGGAACAATCACCACGACTCATAGGTAAATAAGGTCTTTAACTAACGATTGCTAGATCTAACTTGTGATTTGTAATAGTTAAATCAGGTTTGTCAATCCATGAGCGCTCCAAAGTCATCTATCTTACAATTATTAGACTTAATTTGTGTTTTGTCAATAAACGAAGCACAATTGGAAAATGGTTACAAAACATAATATTAAGTCAACAACCTACTATTGTATCTTCGTCAGAGGATATATCAATTCATGATCCAAGATAAATTGGTTCACTTATTGAAAGATAGAACAAAACTCATTTTCAACCCAAATTCGAATGTCTGTTTAGAAAAAAACATTCACATGAATTTTTTTTATTTTTTTGGAAAATTTAATTATATTAAAGGTTTCATAAACTTTCGGATTATTAAAAAAAAAGATGGAATGCGAAAATTCGATACAAAAGTATATATTAGTATGGTTGAAGGCTTTACAAATACCTTGACATCTCTTTGTCAAAACCAATCACTCTACACTGCAACAACCAAATTGTCATATACATTACGACTTTTATCCAATTTTTTTTTATAAAAAAAATATATCGCAATTGATTGTACGAGAAAACGTGCTTCAAAGGGTCATACTAAAATGATGTAACATATACATACATACATACATATATATATATATATATGGAAGATAACTTAGTCTTGATTATTTTCATACTTGTCTTGCTCTAAATTAACATTTTCTTTATAGTTCATCAAATTTATTAAACGGCTCCTTTTAAAAAAAAGACAAAAATAACTGATTTTCAAATATAAATACATTAACAAGACTAAGACCAAATTTTTTGACAGAGATAATCGATAAAGGTGTATTTGATTTAGAACTCTAATAGTTAAAATAGATATTCACGAGTACATGAATGCATTATGAAAAGATAATTTGTTTTAATTCTTATTTACGATTTTGTAATTAGTTAGATTTGTTATAAACGAAAGTTCCTGATAAGATTATATTCTTTGTTAAATAAAGAATTTAGTTACAACTACACAAATTTTTCGGGGAAAAAATCATTAAATGAAAGGATTAGGATTCACTTTTTTTTTTCAAACTCTCATACATATTGTAATTTATACTTCCCTTATTTGTTTCTTCCTTTATACACGGGTCATGTACATGTACCTATATATTTCTTCTCCACCAGTAATACAATATAGTCGTTCATACATTCTTCTCAATACCTTATATGGTATCAGAACGATCTGTGTAAACACACTTGATCCAACATTCATCACCATGTTTGATGCCGCCGTTGCAGCCAACACTGCCCTCATCGCCGAGCCTGCGCCACATTCAACACCCAAGACCCTCACAAGTCTCTCCTTTCTTGTAACATGTCTAATGTTACAAAACTAACGACGACAAATTATTTTACATGGAGCGTTCAAGTTCGTTCGCTGCTTGAAGGTTACAACCTTGTCTGCTTCATCACTGATGCATCTGTTCTTCCTCACTGTGACTGTCGACAGAGTCATATCCGCCAACCCTGTGTTTGGTCCATGGAAGCAACAAGATCGCCTCATATATAGCTCCTTGCTCGATGCCCTGTCTGTGAATCTACAGCATCTCATAGCGTGATCTGCATCAACTCGAGTCTCGAGATGTCTGGCGCACTCTGGCAAATACTTATGGTCGCGCCTCACATGGACACATTCTTCAACTTCGGGACCAAGTGAAGCGAAGTGTCAAGGGCAGCCAAACAATTGACGAATACCTAAGGTTCATTACCTCCAAATCTGATGAGTTGCACAACTCTCCAAACCCATGGATCACGAAAACATCCTCGAGGCAATTCTAGAAGGTCTCCCTGACGATTACAAACCTGTGATCGATGCAGTCAATGCTCGAGACACAACAATCACCATCGAAGAACTGCACGAGAAGTTGCTCAATCACGAAACCAAACTTGATGTTGTATCGCTAACAACACCCCCTGTGACAGCAAATCCTCCCACACATCACAACCATCCTCGGCGCTACAACTCCAACCCTCGAAACAATGCTCCCTCATGGTGCCAATCCGCACATCACTCTAGCAACAACTCTAGCTACAAAGGGAAATGCCAAGTTGCAACACAGTCGGTCATAGTGCAAAATATTATCCCCTGTTTCGGCTTATATCTTCTCGACAGCGTGATCGAACCAAAGACTCAACCAATTTCTCTGCTCAGCCCTCTCGCCAATGGAATTCATCTGCTTACAAAGCCATGACTTCACCCTATGACGCGACATCATGGCTTCTTGACAGCGGCACAACACATCAAATTACCTCGGACTTGCAGAACCTCAGTATTCACAGTCCATACAAAGGCGCTAATGATGTCGTCATCGGAGATGGTACAAGTTTTCCGATCACTCACATCGGATCTATGTCTATTTCTTTGCCTCATAAATCCTTATTGCTTGATGATGTGTTGTGCGTCCCGACCATTCGAAAGAATCTCCTGTCGGTACAAAAACTTTGCAAGACTAATTGGGTTTCGGTTGAATTCTTTCCTCATATGTTTCAGGTGAAGGATCTAAGGACGTGAAAGGGGACTTCTAACCGGAAGAACTAATCAGTGAGTTTACGAGTGGCCGAAATCATCCTCTCCCCCTTCATCGTCTGTTGCATTTACGAGTCTTAAGTCCACTTTGTCCGAGTGGCACTCACGTCTTGGTCATCCGTCTTTAGCAATTCTTAAGCACATTGTGTCGCATCATGAGTTACCATTGTCTTGGTCTCCCTTTCCTCGCAGTGTGTTTCTTGTTCACGGAATAAAAGCCACAAATTACCATTCCTTATATTCACTATCTCTTCTTCCTTTCCTCTTGATTATATATTTTCGGATGTTTGGACTTCACCCGTCATATTCGTCGATGGCTTCAAATATTATGTTTTGTTTGTCGCTCACTTCACCCGATACTTTTGATTATACCCATTAAAACGAAAAGCTCATGTCCGAGATGTCTTTGTCCGATTTAAAGGTATTGTCGAAACCAAATTTTCGAACAAAATAACACACCTATATACTGACAATGGTGGCTCGTTCATCGTCCTTACCTCCTTTTTGGTCGAACATGGCATATCCCATTACATCACCCTCCTCACACCCCTGAGCAGAATGGTATCTCCGAGCATCGTCATCGCCATATAGTTGAAACATGGTTATCAGTTCTAGGGTTGGGCGTTTAGGTTCGGTTCTTCGGAACCGAACCGAACCGAACCGTAAAAACGATATTTTTCCCGATCCGAAACCACTGTTATTTCCCGAATGGTACCATTTTAGAGAACCGAATTTTCCCAGAACCGAACCGAACCGAACCTTAAGAATCCCGAAAAACCGAACATTTTTAAAGGAAATCTATCATTTTTTAATAAAACCTGGACCGAACCGAATACCGAAACAGAACCGAACCGATCCATTCCGTCCTGAACCCGAACCGTTTCCCGAAACGTCCACCCCTAATCAGTTCTCATGCACGAATCGCTTCCACAAACATATTGGTCTTATGCATTCACAACCGTAGTCTATCTTATTAATAGGATGCCTAGCCCAATTCTGGACATGATCTCCCGTTATGAATCATTGTTCAGTACAACTTCCAACTATACCAAACTCAAAACTTTTGGTTGTCTATGCTACCTGTGGTTACGCCCTTACACGTCTCATAAACTCGACCCCCGCTCTACTCCTTGTACTTTTCTAGGATACTCTCCTACCCAAAGTGCCTATTTGTGTCTAGACCCTCTCACATCTCGAGTATAAGTCTCCCGTCATGTAGTGTTCCATGAATCTGTCTTCCAATTTGCAACACCCAAAAAATTCCTACCCAACCAGACATCTGAGTCGTCGTTGTCTTCCTTTGTTCTTCCCTTTCAGCTTGTGTCTCCTTTTCGACCTTACTCTGTAGCTCCCATACCATTTCAGCCCCTGGACCTAACTCCTTCACCGCAGCACATGGAGGTTGTTGACACCGTTCCCAAAGAGTTGGATCAATCACCACTAGCTACGGCCCCTGATCAAGACCTCCCAGCAAAACATGTGATCGACTCTGGTCTTCGAGCTCCACCAACAGTTGTTGCAGCACCACTGCCTCGGCCCTCGACAAACTCTCATCACATGGTCACCCGAGCTAAGTCCAACATCACCAAGCCTAATCCTAAGTTTACTAATGCAGTTTTAGGTGAGTCTGATCCGAAGCTCTTGACGTCGATTACTCAGGCTTTGAAACAACCGTGTTGGCGTGAGGCAATGTAATCTGAATTCAACGCACTTGTCCGAAATAAAACATGGGATCTTGTTCCTCTAGATCATGCCTCTAACATAGTCGGCTGCAAATGGGTCTTCCGAGTCAAGCATTGCTCAGATGGTTCAATAGATCGATACAAAACGATGCTAGTAGCTAAAGGGTTTCATCAACGTCCCAGCGTGGACTATCATGAAACGTTCAACCTTGTCGTCAAGCCAGCCACCATTCATCTTGTACACACCCAGCCTTGTTGTCTCCCGCAATTGGATTGTATGGCAACTGGACGTTAACAATGCGTTCCTTCAAAGAAGTCTCACCAAGAATGTGTTTATGTCTCAACCACCAGGCTTCATCAATCATGATCTTCCACACCACATTTGCAAGCCCAACAAGGCTATCTAGGGGATAAAGCAAGCTCCTCGAGCTTGGTACTCTGCACTCCGGACTCACCTTGTCACTTCAGGATTTGCGAACTCCCTATCTGATGCCTCTCTATTTATTCGACACCGTGACTTGTCAATGCTTGTGGTTCTCATCTATGTCGATGACATCCTTGTCACCGGAAGCTCGCATAGTGATATTCATCAGTTTATTGAATCACTCTCTCGCCGATTCTCCCTCAAGGATCTTGGTTCTCTGTCGTTCTTTCTGAGAATTGAGGCAACTCGCACCAAATCTAGTCTATTCCTTTGCCAGAAACAGTGCATCAGTGACCTACTAACATGGACACAAATGCACGAAGCGAATTCAGTTTCAACCCCCATGTCATCATCTTCTCGGCTCACTGCTAAGTCTGGTACACCTCTAGCTGACCCAACATAATTCTGAAAAATCATTGGGAGCTTGCAGTACCTTTCCCTTATGAGGCCATATATTAATTTTGCAGTAAGCAAATTAGCTCATTTTATGCAACATCCAACTGATGTTCATTGGACAGCTGTCAAACGCCTTCTGCGTTATTGGTCGGGTCTCTTCATAGGAGAATTTTTCTATCAGCAGAAAATCCACTTCTTCTTCATGCTTATAGCAATGCAGATTGGACCGGGGAGAAAACTCGACTTCAAATCGACAGGGCCATTCACAGTTTATCTTGGCAGGCATCCAATCTCGTGGTCCTCAAAGAAACAAAGCTCGGTTTTCCGCTCTTACACTGAGGCAG